TGAGAGAGACAAGATGCCGCCACCTGTAGCCCTCAGGGATTCTCCAGGAAGTGGCTGGGGTCGGGGAACAGATGAATATTTCATCCGGAAGCCACCAAGTGATTTTCTCTTCCCCAAACCCAACAGGTAGTAGCTACTCTTCATCACCCACACAGAAGGGAAGAGGGAGGGAGAACTTCAGTTCCCAGAAGACTGTGTGGAGGCAGGCGGCCTGGGCCCCCGGAAGATGCTGTGGTTGAGCATCATGGGAGTTGTAGTATCCCTTCTGCTGCCCACTTAGCGTAAAGGAGAGAACTAAAGCGTAGAGGGATGAGAGGAATTGCGGAAGGCTGGCGAGGTCTCCCCGCTGGCAGGGAGAGGCTGAAGGGCCCTGTCAGGTTTGAAAACTGGCAGGGTGTTGGAGGAAGGAGTTAGGGCGGGGCCTAGAGCGCTGGCTCTGGCTGTGTGTCTTTGCGCCCGGGGCGTGGCCAAAGAGTCCCGCCCCTTTCAGGTTCCAGCCTGAACTGCCCGTCCCGGACATGCGGCGATTTATCGATGGTCCAAGCCGGGCTGTGGGCCTGCCCCCCGAGCTGCAGGAGGTCGTTTCCTCGATCAGCTACATCGCTCGACAGCTGCAAGAGCAGGAGGACCACGACGCGGTAAGCCCAGTGAGGGTGGAGCAGGGCAGGGCCTCGATTCCATTCGCAAACTCAAGCTTCGCCCCTACCACTCGGTTTTATTTATGACTGGAAGTTTGCCTCACTTGGTCCCGCCCCCTGCTTTCCGATTGGTTCTGTCCTCCCATCCATCGCCGGCCGTTTTGCACTTCTCTGTTCCGCAGCCTGCCCTTGTCTCAGAGCTGTGGTGGGAGGACCAGAGCCGGGTGTGGGTCTCTGGGAGTGGCCTTCCCTTGGGATCTGGGGCTCAGGAACAGTTTCTTGTGCCTACCCCCAGCTGAAAGAAGACTGGCAATTTGTGGCCATGGTCGTGGACCGCCTCTTCCTGTGGACCTTCATCATCTTCACCAGCGTCGGGACCCTCGTCATCTTCCTGGACGCCACGTACCACTTGCCCCCTGCCGACCCCTTTCCTTGAGAGCAGAGGGTCGAGACTCAGGTCCTGGGCCAGTTAAATCGAGAGTTCGGCAGTACTCTGAAACCTTATCCCTTTCTGCCTCTTCACTCCTTCACTAGGCATCCAGTCCCCTCCTCATTTCGTTTCTGGGGAGAGAGCCGAAGTGGGACTGGGCAGTAGGAGGCTTTGGGCCCACCAGAATGCACTATCAGGTTATTTACTCTTTGGCTTCTTGAAGAAGCTCCTTTGGACATCAACACCTAGGCTCCCAGTAAAATGGAACAAAGAACAAGAACTAGACGGTAAGCCTTATGAGGGCAGGAACTATATCTTGTTCAATGTAATATCTCCAGCACCTAGCACAAGTCCTGACCTATAGTAGGTGCTTTACATTTGTTGAATGAATAGGGAAGAATTTTTTCTGGAAGGAAATACACCAATTAATAGTGCTTATGTTTGTGTGTTGGGACTAGTGGTCATTTTTTCTTTATTTTTACCTTTCTGTAATTTATTATGTTTTGCAAACAGTATTATCTTTAGGATAAAAAAAGCTTATTTCTAAAAGGATGCATTTGTAATGAAGAAAAAAAAACTGCACTTTAAAAACACTCAAGTTAGGGCCGGCCCCGTGGCTTAGCGGTTGAGTGCGAGGCTCCGCTGCTGACAGCCCGGGTTTGGATCCCGGGCGCGCACTGACGCACTGCTTCTCCAGCCATGCTGAGGCCGCGTCCCACATACAGCAACTAGAAGGATGTGCAGTTATGACATACAACTATCTACTGGGGCTTTGGGGGAAAAATAAATAAACAAAATTTAAAAAATAATAATAAAAAAAATTAAAACACTCAAGTTCCAGCTTTGGTGCTGACTTTGGACAAGCTATTAAACTGCTCTGTGCCTAAGTTTCCCTATGTGTAAAATGAAGCTAATACTAGTATCTGCCTCCTAGTCTGAGGATCGTATGAGAAGATGGGAATAAAAGCACTATACGGTATATATCAGAGGTTGCAAACTGGTGTCTGTTGTTTGGCCCATGTTGTTGGCTTACACAATTTTAAATTTGAATTAGTTTGCTACTTTTAAAATTTGGGTATTTCCCAGAGAAATCTGGATTTCTGGCTTCTCTTGAAAAATTTTAAAAACTACAGTAACACCAGGCCAACTCCCCTGTTGGCAGCAATGTGCTAGAGCTGATTAGTGGCTGCCCACTTTGGTCAGGGTATTTGTTCCAGAATTCCTCAAAGCCCCCACCCCCCTGACCAGCTTCACTCATTTTACTTGCCCATCCCTCCACCACACTAGACAAACTACACGGGAGGGGGGACAAGGAGTTGAAGCCAATGGGACGCTAGGAGTCAAAAAAGAAAAGTTGTTGTCTCTTATGGCCATCACACATTTTGTGCCTCAGTTTCCTTTCAATTTGGAGAAAGGCTTGCACCTGGTTTAAGGCAGGGCTTTTCTGGGACATGAAGATCTTGTGCCCAGCAGGCTGTGCAAACTGGACTGAATTAATCTTTCTGCCTGGGGCCAGACCAAAGTCAGCTTGAGCCTAGTGGCTGCAGCAATTACGGTGAAGTACCTAGGGTCAGCAAGCCCTCACACCTACTCAGTTGCTGGAAGTTGTTGTCCTAAGAGGGAGAACAGGGCTGCAACTCCCAAGGATCCCTATGGGACAAGGTTAGCATGTCCCTGTCCAGCCAGACCCACCAGCCACGCAAATAATTGCACCTGGCATCCCACTGCAGAGCACAGTTTGTTTGTCTTGTTGGTTTATTGGCCTAGAGAGTTGGACACACACACAAATGCGGAGATAAATATTGGTCAGTTTCTCTAAATCTGGGTCCTCACTACGTATAGAGCTAGAGTCTGTAGAAGTCTAAATCTTGCGTGCTGTGGCACAGAACCAGTGGCCTTCCCACTCCACCATCACCCTTCTTCCTAGGGAACATGGGGAAAGAGGGCACAAACTGACAAGACTTGATAATTTTCAAAAGATGAAATAGTAAAATCCCAAATTTCCAACATCTGAAATGCACAATATTCAAGTTCCCCAGCTCAGATACATATATTTTTAATTTCCATTTTGCCACAATCTCACTTGTTGCCCAGAACCACCAAATTCTGGAAACTATTTTCCTAAGTCATATTTTCAAAAAAATAAATGTCTACAATCTCAGTTCTCCCAAAATGTCCATGGTTTTGGAATTTTGACCTGTTCTGAAATTCAAATTCCCCAGTCCATCCTCAACCTCTTCCATCTCCTGTGCCTTTTTGCCTCAGAGGAGTGCAGGTTAAGGATATAGGGGGACTGTCATCGCATCTGCCCCCTGCCTCCAAGGCCTTCCTCAGTCTCTCTTGTGGTTCCGCTGTGTGTGTATATATATATATAATTTGTGTGTAGATATATATATGTATTCTTTATTATGTACTTTTTTCGCAGTTTTTCTAAAGTGCCAGAAATAAGATTTGTGGGAATTTTTTAGTGACTTTTTTTTTTTGCATTTTTCCCTGTTTTAAACTTTTTTCCCCCTTAAAAATTGGAACTTGGTACATTCAGTAGGAAACTCTTCACTCGGACTGTGGCCAAGACCAAGAAAAGTGCAAAGAGACAGAGGAGGAGTGAAGGAGCGACACTCCTCCGTGGTTAACATTCAGGGAGCCTGTCGAAAACCTTCCCCTTCTTATACGCTGGGAGGGTGAGAGGAGGCAGGAGGAGGCTCCTGTCCCTCCCCCAAACTCACCTCCCTCCAAAAGCCATGATCTTGCCCTTTCAGCATCTGTTGAGAGGGCAGCCATCTTGGCCGCAGAAAACAGTAGCTGGGAAAAAGGCTGCCATTTTGATGACAGCAACTTTTCCCCTTTTTAAACTGCACTCCTCTAATTCCCATTTATCAAATTTGCTCCCCCAAACTGGCTCTCCCCTTGTGAGCTGCTTTGTTGTTTTTTTTTTTTTTGAGGTGAAGGTGGGTGGAATGGGAAATGTTCATCCAATCACAGAGTGGGGAAGCCCAGTTATCAAAGAGAATTAGGAGCAAACATTTCTTCAACTCCCCCACTGGAAAGAAACATAGGGACCCCTGACCAGGGTTAACTAGTGCAAATTAGGGATCAGGGACTATTTAAGGTCCCTGCACCCCATCCCTAGGCTGGGATCTTTGGGTGTGGGGAACTGAGTCAAAAATGGGGTGTAAGGTGCTATTTTGGAGGGAAAGTTGGTGGGGATACCCCAAAGCCCACCAAGGGAGTAGGATGGTTTTCCAAAAACCATCTGGAGTGATGGTGAGGGGAGCAACACTGGGGAAGATGGGGTAAAGGTAAGGATGGGAGGTCATGTGCAAATCTTGGGCTTACCCACCCATCCAACTCCCATCATTTTTCTGGCTATTTGGTCTAGTCTGGGAGAAACCATCAGGAAAAAACAGGGAGAAAAGTAGATTCCCTTCCCCATCCCGTATGGAGCTCCTCGCTCCTGGCCCCCAAATCTGGTTTAGCCCAGTAGAGGCCATATGCAGAGGCAGGAAGAGGTGTGATCTACTCACCTCTTTTGCCTTGGAAGAATCTGGGGCTCACTGGATTTGAGGGTCAAGATAGGGCCAAGATTGATGCTGCCCTGGGCTGAGAAAGTGCTCAGCCATGGAACAGATGGAGTAGGGTAGCCCTCCCCCCAACACCTCCTTGACCTGGACTGGGAGCGGCTATCTCCAGAGTCTAGGAGTATGAGGAGGAATATGGAAGATCCAAAGGCATGGAAGCCAAGGAAAGCATGGCATCATAACGTGACGGAAACAAGAACATAGAAACCCACCCTTGCGAAGAATGGAATCCAAAGCCATGCTCCTG